ACGCCCCCAAAAAAACACCCAACACTCCCCCCCAGTTTTCCCGGGCATTTCATTTGTATTCGAAGCATTGTGTCCTGTTGAACATTCTTAATTAGGTTAAATCTACTGTGCGACGCCGGGTTCTTGGGCTGGGCCCCACGATTTGGGTCCGGAATGGGTATGCCCCACATACATACACACCCTTTTTGCGGGCCCGTAATGAAGTCAGTCCTCCGGAGAGGTGGCACCCGGAACGCGTGTTCGCCATTTGGCATAATTTACAATGCCGCCGGCCGCCAAAGACACAAAACTCATATTTGCAATTTAAATCCAGGAAATGAAACAATTACAAAGTTTATCGGATGCAATCAACCTCGCAACCCCTCTATAAAATCCCAACATGTGTGGCTCTACTTATGAGCTTTCTAATCAGGTACACTCATATTAAATTAAATTAAATCTTGTTTTTCCACTACTTTAAAATCAAATTAAACATTGATTTTTACAATGGATTTATTGAATCATTTTCTAAAATGTAAAATGTTCACGTTAAGCTATAATTTTTTGCACAGTAAAGCCTCTTTTAAGCTCTTTTAAGCCCATTAGAACTAAACTTTTTTATCGACTTAAGTAATCTTTTTTTATTCTTTTTTAATATATCCCTCTTGGAGCTAATTTCTTTTATCAGATTTTTGTGAAGTACATACATGACGGATATTTAGCCAGTTTCTTGTAAAAGCTTGCTTGTCACCCTGCTGCCAGCTCAAGCGCTTATTATAAATGAACTCAAATTTAATTAAGAGTTTGCCATATTTTGTTTCAGTCCGTCCAGACACACGTCGCGTCCCCATCAACTTGGCCATCATCGTCAAGATGGTTGCGTTGTGTCTCCATTTCAGGCTTCATCACGAACAATATTAACGTCATTGTGCGGCCGACCACTCCAGGTTCACTCCGTGGCCCAAAAAATGTTTTTAGCCAAACTTTTACGCAAAATAACAGAGCGAAACACGACACAAAACCGTAGCCGTAAACGACGAACGTAGCCGTAACCGTAGAGCGTTTCAGGAAGAAGTCGAGCGGGGGGAAACTTGAAATTCACTTTATTCGCGGGACAACAAGAAGACGGTGCCAAAAATCCACTCTGTCTGTGTGTGTCTGCCTGTGTATGTCAGAGTCCTTTTCCTGTCCTGTTTTCCCTTTTATTAAATTGAATTTTGCCGTCGGACATGGAAAGGGACCAAGAATTCAAAATGAGGCCGAGACGATATGTTTATGATGCCACTTGTCTACCAAATACAATTTTCGCATTTCTCGCATTTGGCTCTCATATTTCAGAGCGCTGCCTCTCTTGACAATTTCGTCGCTTTTAAATTTGCTTTGACATTTTTGGCCGACATCGGGCATTGGCTATATATTGAAAGGAACCCCAACACGTCCCGTCCGTGTCCTTCCCCTTTTGCGAAGTCGGTCCGGGAAATCGAATTAAAAACTCATCTTTGCCCAATTTGTGCCAACGCTCCTTGTCTCGCAACCCATGTCCCACATTTCTCACAGCCAGTCACAGATGATTTGGGCTCGTGTCCTGCACAAAAATACCATCCATCCTTGCGAAGCCTGTGTGCTCCTTTTTTATTGTTTTACTAGCAGAAAATCTGTTTTATTCGTACGCTTTTATTGTTGCTACGAGTAATTTAATGTGTATTGCATTTAAGCTAATATTTGAGTTGTTGCTCGGAGGTTTTAATGCCGCTTTTACGATCTTTTTATTGCCTTTTTATTTGCTGGCCCTGGACCTGACCTCCTAGCACTGGTCAGTGGCCCAGGGCAACTGCTGGAGGGTTGCTCAACTTTACTCAACTAATTTCGAGCAATTACAACCGAACGAACAACGGAATGAGGGCCAGCCTCTTTTATTAATTATAACTTCCCTCTGCCAATTGCTCCATTTATGGGGTTCAACACCGATATCAATCATCGTAAAAGGCCATTCTGGGCCTGAACTCTTTAAGGACACATTAGACACACTTGACTGGCTGCTTTCTGCAACTGTGAGTTTGTGTGTCTGTGCGTGTCCTTCGAGGAGCGAAGGGGTTATGCGATGGCTTTCTTAATCTCGACTTGGCTAGCTGGTGGGTCACATCAAAGGAGAGCCACATCTGGAATGCAAACAAAGATAATCTTTTGCCTCAATTTATTTACCTTTCGCTGACCAAACCAATTTACGATTTTAATCAAACCCGAGTCAGAGCACGAGCCACCATCAAAGCAAATAGTTGAGCTGCTGTCACTCGGCAAAGGGCAAAGGTCGAAAGGCAGCCGACTAATGCCCAGTGTCCAAACTAATTTGACGCTGACGAGGAATGAGAAGTAGAGAGAGGGAGAGGGAGAGTGAGCGAATTGGCCTGAATGTCTGCCTGTCTGTTTTTCCAACTGTCCGTCCATCTGTCCGTATGTCTGTCCGTATGTCTGTCCGTCTGTCTGTCCGTCCGTCCGTCCGTCCCACTAACCAACTGACTGACGGACATGCCAGTCTGTGCATAATGCTTATTACTGCAATCATTTACAGCACTTGGCCATGGCCCTTTATCGGAGGCCTGGTCCTCTGAAGATGGGTCGCCTGGACACAGTCCTCCTGGCCGAAGTTCCATTTGCCGAGCAATGCAATACGCAATCTTCAGGCAAACGCACTCGACCCCACACACATTAGTGAAAGTGTTGTGAGCAGTGAGAGAATAAACAAGGAAACAATGTACCCATACTACACTGCCATATGTGAAGATTATTCTAAGAAAATAATATGATTTTCGTAAAGGTAACATAATTACTTATCTAACAAAAGGGTCATCATAGTTTAATATTCAACTTATTCACTACTTCAACCTCTTTTTAGATAATAGTTACATTATATTCCACTTATTCTCAATGCAAGCACTTATTAATTAGCTTGCATTTATTTTCTTGCAGTGCTGACATGCAACAGTTTCCACTATTTAATGGCGATCTCTAAGCAGCCCACACCCCAAGCGGTTAACACACTTCCGTCCCGTTGTGTGAGTGTGTGTGTGAGTTTGAGTGTGTGTGTGTGCTGGTGGGGTGTCATGTTGGCTATTATGAATTGTGCAATTGTCGTCAACGCCAGCGAGATGCCAACCCCATTCTGCGCCGCTTTGCGTTCCCTTTTTCCATTCTCCATTCTCAGTTCGCCTTTCTGCTTTCTCCTTTCTCCATCACCAGTCGAGCTGACAGTCAGTCAGTCACTCCTCTGCAGCTCCAGCTCCAACTGAAGCTTCCAGCCAGCAGCTTTTGGCCCCACATCACATCACTCCTTCTGTTAGTCACTTCTAGTGCTTGGTTTCATTCCGATTGCCTGCTCATCATCCAGCAGCTCTTTGTTTGGACGAGGACGGCACACACGGCGTATACTGAATGCTGTCTGCGTTTGCCTTCGTTTGCCTGCATTTGCCGCCATTTTTCAACCCACACCACTGACTATTTTCCCTTTTCCCTTCCCCCTTTTTTTTTTTTTTTTTGTTAGTGCAACTACTACTTTTGTGTTGCTACTCGGCACTCCTAGTAAATGACTCTTCAACGTTTGTCGTATTTGTCTGGCAGCACTTTGAAGTGCCAAATATTTTTACATTTGTATACTGCTGCTTTTGTCATTTGTTTCGGCAACCTGACAAATGTTCTTGCTAGCCAAAGCGCAGCTCGAAAATCGGTTGAAAGCCGAACTACTCTGGCATTTATGACATCGGCAGCACTCTAATTAAGCCACCAAGTGCTCCAATCAGCCAGTTAATCAAGCGAGCAAGTATTTAATTAAGTGCGCGAAATGGATGCGCATGCGATGGGCTTCATTATGCTCCCTTGCGCCGTAAAATCTTTAACCGTCATTTCACGGGTTTCCGGTGGGGTAAGCAAGGTGTATCGCTGTAACATTTATGCGCTTTTCCCGTCGCATCAAAGTCATCAAATGAAACGAACAGCCCCGGCAATTCCACCTCGGTCCTTCTATCTATCTATCCGTCTATATACATGTATTTTCCGTATATCTGAATCTGTGCACTCTGGGTGTAAAGCTGTCAGCTAGTTTGCATTCATCAACTTCAGCGCCGGCAATTGAGTGACACCATCCTCATATTGCAGAGTATCATCAACAGCAGCAACATCATAATAATCATCATCATCATCGCCATCGACATGATGATGATCATCATCATCAGAATTCCCATCTCAAAGATTTACATGACAGCAGTTGCAGTTCGTTCGCTATTCATTTGCTGGCAGCCCTTCTGATTGCTTGTATTAGTGATTGTCAGTTGGCTAAAAGGCGGAGGAGAAGGAGGCGGAGGTGGAAGGGGCGGGGAATTGAAAGGCGTGGCTGTCTCTCCATTTGATTGGCATTGCAGCACGCAAATCTCTTATGCTTATGAATATTCGCATGGCGAATAAAATTCCATGTTTGTCACTCTGCATTGATTGAAGTGTGAGTCCTGTGCTCTATATATGCACATATAGTACGTCCTCTTCATTATCCGATGGCAACTATTATATATTGGGTTTGTCAAACGAGCTTTGAGCGCTTTTGAAAGCAATTTATTGATTTCTCGCTGCGCAAACGAATGGCGCTCCAAGCTAAAGCCTTGGCTAGCATACCGAATCCCAATCCCAATCAAGCGGTTCCCATGCCATTGTGAATGCTGTCGACACTGGCCAAAGCATTTAAGCCATTAACACGCAAAGGTCGCCAAATAGTATTGATTATGACCGCTGGCCAGACGAGAGGGCCAAGACCGACAAGACCGCCCTGAGAAACGACAACAAATAACAATAACAAACAATCGGCACAAAGAGTCCTTGTTTAACTTGGGTTTGGGTCCGTCTGGGGGAAGGACTTGTTCAACTAAACTGTTTTTGCTTACACTGTCTGGCTGCCTCAGTCGTTTCGTAAGGATTAAAGCTCTATTCAAATTATAGCCAAGTGATGATAAGCCCTGACCTAATCCGATCGCATGTTATTACGATTTAGTTACAATAACGTTTATTTTACTGCTCAACTGTTGCACTTCCAACGGTTGAAGTTACGTTAATCAATAGGAAAATATAATTTAAGACATACTTTGGAAAAAGCTAAAAAAAAAAAAAAAACATTAAAAAGCACTTCCAAAACGGTGTAAAGATTCTATAACACATTTATAGTCCTCTAAAGACTTTCTCCGATGCCCATTAGTCGCCATTGAAATCTTTTTTCTTTGTAGCTTTTCTCTTCATTCTTTTCGAGGGTTTGAGATATTTCCTAAGGGTGCGAAGCGTAAATTTGGTCAATTGGCGATTTGGGGGCAGTGCCCTTAATCAATAAATACCATTCGCCGCGGGGCATGTAAACGTTGCAGATGCAGGTGTTCACCAAGTGCAGGATCCCTGCAATCATGCCGAAGGCGCCGGACAAGTAGAATATGAGTGCGAACTCGTTGCCACAGTGATCGATCATGGCCACGAGCAAAGTGAGGCCGGCGACTATGCAGGCGACGCCGCTAACCAAATTAAACGTCATCGCCTGTAAAGCACACTCGTTGGGCATTCATCACGGCCAAGGGCCAAAACACATGTGTACGCACAATTGGATCGAGTCCCACGGTGGTGCAGCACAGCCGGAAAAGAAGAAGGACCAAACTCTGCAAGGCGATGGGCGGCATGACAAAGATTAACATCCACACCGATATCCCGTACTCCTCGCCGAGAACGCAGTGGGTGTCCAGGATGCGGATGATAAAGGCCAGGGACAGGATCTCCAGCACCTAATGGATAAAGGAAGTCAAGAAGGGTACCCATTTCCGTAGAAGATTTCGATTCCATTCACCGTCGTTAGCAGCAGCAGTATAAAGTTAACCACTCGAAAGTGGAAACTCATAATAATGGTAACTTGTAATTTTGATAACTCCCTAAATATATCTAGTAAGGAAAGCTGGCGAGAAATGTTCGAAAAAACATAACATCAAAGCTAAGTATTAATATAGATTGTTAACAAAGAGAGACTCGAAATGAAATGAGTAGAAATTCATAGCACAATTTCATGATAAGGACCAATTCACGACTTTCACTGCGAGCTTGCAAATGGTTTTGCGCATAATCACAATATCTTTTTATCCACTTGGCAGCAACATTTTATTGTTTTCTGTTGCTCCTTTTATTTGTTATTTTTTTTCGCGTTTCCCATTTTGTTTTGGCCCCGCTAATCTAATTGGCCTCGATAGCGCTTGTTGAGCGAAGTCGTTGCCCGCCACGCATTTGTTGCTTTGTTTGCACTAATTTCATTACTTGTGGAATGTGGCGATGATTTCATGCAATTTAAAGCCACATTTTTCAGTGGCAAGGCATTTAGCATAGTAGCTGCTGACCGGACCCAAAACGGTCCCGACCCACGGAACTCGGGGCCAAGAGTCCGAGAGTCGGGAGCTCCATAACTAGAATCGGCTAGAACCGTTGAGCCGGGTCTCATGGACCCACTCCAGGCTTTTATAATAATTGCCTGTTGACACGGGATGGCCAAGAGGCAACGTTAGTAGCCACGGGAACGTGGGCCTCTCGGAACGCCGACTGGGATCGAGCAATGGGAATGCCGTTGATAAATGAAATTTTCAAAACGTGAACCAACAAAAGGGGACAAAAAACAAACGAAACGAAACCAAACCAAACCGAACCGAACTGAAACGAACTGAGGACACAAAACAAGCGGAAAAAGGGGGCGGCAAATATAATTTAATTTGTTCGCTTTTCAAAAGGTGCTCGGCCCTCCTTTCAGCCTTTTTTCTATATCCCAAACGAGGTTTGGTTAAGCGTTGATTGAGCAAGAACACTTAATTTATTAAAAGGAAAAAAGGAAATCCCTGCACAAATCGATACTTTTCCAAGTAACTCGCACTCTCTCTCGAGTGACATAAATTTTGTCAGCTTAGTTGCGAAAATTGCATATTAGCCAAACATGACAACGTTTCGCCTTTTCTGTGAAATTTATGGAAAAATGTTGCGAAGACAAAAAACTTGAGAGAGATGCGAAGTGAAGTGAACTCCCCAAAGCGGCCAAAAACGAAACAGGAGCAAAAGAACGAGAACGAGTTCGAGAAAGAGAAATGTTCTCGAATAAACAACAGCGGAAATGTAGGCTATGATTTGCTTACTTGCCAGCAGTTCAGGGGCGTAGGTTGTGCAAGTGAAGAGGGGGGTAGTAGAGGGGGATCTTTTGCCAGGGGAGTTGGTCCAATGACAAGGGCGGTGTGGAAAAAGTTACGAGAGTCAGAGAGCTGGCAAAACATAAATCAAATGCATGTAAAATTTTGTACTTTCCGCACACATATCCTGATCCTGTGCAAGTGCATTGGGCAGGCCCAAAGCAGGACAACCGGTGGTGGAAGGACGAAGGACGAAGGACCCACGACGACGGACGCAGGACGCAGGACGAGGTAGGAATATTGGTAGGCAAGTGTGAGTGGGAGTGCGTTGTGTTTTGTGCACATCCGTTAACTTTGTCATTTTTGCTCATTTCCTTCCGGCATGTGCAAGAAAACTGCAGTAGCGGCAGCGGCGGGCCAAACGAAATGATTCCCAGCAGTGCTCCACTGAGCCATCGGGCCACCGAGCCATCGAGCCACAGAGCCACTGAGCCACTGACAAGCCGTAAGCCGTAAGAAAGCCAACCGAACTACGAACACAAGGCTGGCTGGCGAAACAAAAGCAATGCGGAAAGCGGCAATAAGTTGAGGGCATAACTTTCGGAGCCTTCAAGAACACACACTCCAGTGGCGTAGAAGGGGGTTGGGATTTTCAAGGTTTCACAGCTAGGATTTGATAGTTAATTTCTTCATTTTCGGTGGGTTGCTTGCTAGGAGAAAGCATTTATTTTAGCAAAACAGGTTTGCATTCAAAGAGAAATAATCAACGCATACTACATCAATTGAAATTGTGAAATTCCTTAGATTTAGCCAACGTTTAGAATTCGTTTAACATTTTTACTTACAATAACGAAATAGTTGCTAATATTAAAAGCCGTTGCAACTGTTGAAAGCAATGTTTATAGCATCCCTTTTAAAGAGGCTCCGAATCGATTCAATGAACATTGAATATTTATACCGGGGTCTCACACTTAAAACCCCCTTAAATATTGACTATACACCCATGTCTTAAGGGGTGAGAAAGCTCAGAGCATTTTGCATGAAATTAGAGTCGTAAGACACAACGAGTGTCGGGCAAAAAGTCTTGGGTCTATAACTTGCTTGTTGGAATTTAATTATTTTGCAGTTGCTGTTTCGCTGGTGCAACTTGGTCACGGGGGTCTTATTTTTTGTACATTACACATCCTCCGAACCCCACAACACCCCACTCCTCTCACTGCTCTTCCTGCCGGGAATCATGTGCCAAAAATAGCAAAACTTTGCTGCAATTTTCATTCGCATTTATTGTGTTGACATGCTGCCACACTGCGTATACGTATCCTTGATGCAGCCAAACAATTTATTTATTTAAGTCGAGTTGAGTTGAGTTGAGTAGCGTGTAGAAGGAGAAGGAGGCAAAACTTTTTTGCCGTATGTTTGCGCTTGAGAACTGAAAAACTGCAAAACTGGAAAATAAAAATATTTGTACACTTCCCGTTCCTCGCAGTTGTTCGTATCCGATTAGATGCCCTGGCTTCTCTCGAAAGTCGAAAGTAAGAGAATCCCAGCTGAACGGAAGTAGGTCCTCACATCCCACGTCCAATTGGAGTCATATGCATTCAAAGTCAAAGCCACATTAATTAGCATGCTTAGGTGACTTTTATCAAAAACCAATTAAATCCACACACTCGTAAACAGGGGCACAAAGTAAAGTTAATAATTAAATGAATCTGTGTGAGTGGCTTTGAGTTCAAAGTTGACAGCCAGCTAAAACTCTGTGAGTACATTTTTTTTTTATTTTCTTTTTATTATTTCCTGTGTGCTCTTAGTATAATGACACATGCGAGAGCGGAGGCATTAAAAAACATGCAAGGGAACGGGCGAAAAAAAAAAATAAAAATCACAAATAACATTATTAACGTTAAATTAAACTTTGGAATTTTGTTTGCCCCATGCCAGACATGCCAGGGCGCTGAAAGGGCCCAAAAAGGCGAAAAGGAGTAACTTTTCAGGGGGCCTAAAAGTACATTAAAACAGGGACCGGAAGTCAAGACCAAAGGCTTGTTTATGTTTACCGTAATTTGCGGCTCGCTCTGAAAACATAATCAAAGACTTCAAATAAAGCCGCAGAGTTGGTCCTAATCGAGCTCCTTACCTAGTCGACTCCGACTTCAGTGCGAATATAGTTGAGTTTTTCCAGATTTTTCCGCACAACACTCACGCCCCCTTTCCGCCCACTCGTATTTGTCAAGTTGGGAGAGTATGCGTGACACGTAGTAAATTAAATGTGAAACTCTGTAGCAGAGTGTAGCTAACTGAGAGTTTAGTGTTTCTGTGTGTGTGTGTGTAGGTGTGGGTGTGGGTGTGGGTGTGGTGATGGGTGGTTGAGCTGAGTTTGAGTGGCTACAAAGAATGCCGTTGAGCATAGTATATAGCTGAAGCTATTGCTTAGCCCCTTCCTCCCCCCGTCGGCTATAAATCATCAAAGTTCAACGTTTGCCATTTTGTCTACAATGTGCAAAAGTGTTCGAAAGAGTGTGCGTTTGTCTGTGTTTGCGAACTGGTGTTTGTACCCAAATGTGTTTGCTTTGCAATTTCCTTTTATTTATTTAAAGTTCTTAGGCAAACATTGCGCTTCCCCCACCCGCTGGCAAACAGCAATGTTCACATTAAGTTTTCTGCCAAAAGTTTTAACAAGTAATCTTTTAATTAAGTGCCAGCTATCCTCCGACATCTCCTCAGACACTCTGGCATTCGGCAAATCCTGAATCCCGGAGTTATGAGAGCAACAGGAAGAAGGCGGGAAAAAACTCACAAATCTAATTTGATTAATGGTCAAATGCTAAGCTTAATTAGTGGAAACAGCAGCGAAAAACGCGTCCGACCAACTGGAATCGGCATTAATGGTTGCCACAAATACGGGGAAAGCAAGAAATTAAATAAATAACCACAAAACAACAACTAATTGCGCCACAAACGACAATGGGAAAACAACCAGCGAAGAGGAAAAACGGAAGAAAAGGGGGAAACTGAAAATATTTCGCAACTAATAAAAACATTGCGGCGTACTAAATCAACTGGAAAGCTGTAAAACACATTGAAACAAAGGTAAGCGAGAAAAGCGTGAAACGCAAAAACTGAAAAATATACAAGACCACAGGATACCCACTACTATATCTAAAATCAAACATAAAGGTATTAATTTTTGGTATAGGTAAGCTAACAATTTTGTTTCGTAAGTTTACAAAAGGAAACCCAGGTGTAGTACTTACATTTTACTTTACTATTCTTTAAATATCCATCCTAGCTTTTTTTATATTAAGTAATAAAATATCCCCTATTATCCACAAGTACCTCTTATCAAAAGGAAGACCGACAGAGGAAGGTGAAAATAAATGAGAAAGATGGTAAATAGTTTTCCCAAGGGGCAGCAGAAATAATGGCAACTGACATTTGACATTAGTTTTCTTGCGCCAAGAACATTCATTTCTCCAGCGGCCTTAATTAAAGAGACTGTCGTGAATTATAATTGCAGTAGTTAAGCAAAGCGATGCCATAAATGCATATGCAACGAGATCCGTTCTTCTAAATTGGTTGACTATGTTCTTTTGTCCACACATTTTCCCCTCAATTGAAGTCGTTGCACCCTTTATGTGGTTATTTTCCCTTTTTTTTGCCGTTCTTAAGCGTCGGATCGCATTTCATACAATTGCGAATCGGAGTTTACATTGTCGGAAGAGTCTTTTTATCGTCGAGTAATTGGACTCCACTTTCAATTGCTCTGCTCTCTAAGCGTCTCTTGAGTTTTCAACCTTAATTGCACTTTAGCAACGTTTCGAACTTGTTTGTGTTTGACCAAATTTCATTGCTACTGCTGCCGCTCCCACTTGATGGGTGGATTGATTGATTGATTGTTTGACTGATTGTTGTTCAAGTGCCCAGCCAAAGGAGAGAAATATTTGCGTAGATTTAACTAATTGCAGGACAATCGAAAGTCGAGAGTTTTCCATTTCATATCGGCTTAATTCGAGTGCAGCCAACTTGACCAAATATTTGCTAATCAATATTTTTTGCACTAAACAAAAAGAGATTAAAGCCTGTTATTAACGAGATAAGCCTGTTGAAAAATGAGGAGTCTTTCACAAAATTGACAGAAGATCAAAAGCTAAGCGACAATCATAATTAAGTTTCCTGGCAAGCGATTTCAATTAGCAGGAGCAAGAACAGCCACACAGCTGGCCAATCAGCCGGCTCACGACCTTTTTGGTCGAAAGTGCAAACACGAGATGGAAACTTGGCCAAAGTTTAGCGAGCGAGCTGGGGACTCACCAGCTGCTCCTAATTAAAGCCGAAAATCTCTGCACTTTACACTAAAAAGCGGACAAAACGAGGGTAAAGTCCAAGCGACGCTAAACCACTTTTCCAAGATAAACGACACTTTTGGCAATTTATGTGGGGCAAATCTCAATGCTTTTTGGCCAGCACATTTTCGGGACATTTTCGGGTATACTTTAGAGGCCACATAACGTTTCAATTTCCTGTCCCATGAATAATGGCAAGTGTCCAAGAGCTGCTGGCCAACGCTTGTTGCCATTTATAATCCACGAAACTAAATACCCAGCCCAAGTTGAAGGTTTGTGGCCAAGTTTTGTGGCCAGCTAATTGAACTGATTGCCAAAAATGTGCTGTCCTTGTTGAGGCACGATTTCACACTGGTCGATGGATTGATTTTGATTTTATCCGTAGTCCATCATTCAATTAGTTTTTATTTTGTGGGAAAGAAAGGGGTGGTTTAGGGGGCTTTACGGCTTTCATTTCCAATTTTGAGCGAGTTTATTAAATGATATATCCTTGTAAGCTGACAGCCTCACTTCGGTTTTGCTCAATGACAAACCAGACATTGACATGAATATTCACTTTTGTACAAACACACTGATGGATTTGCAGGCACTTAATATGGCTGCATGTTAATATCCACAACCCCCGAAGTGCCCGCCTCCTTGATTGTCAGTCAGAAACGTCAGAAACAGCCACAGGTATATCTTGATGTGAAAACAAATTTATTGGAAATTAAAGCCCCAAAACTCAATACTCATTTAATTTGTGCCGAATATTAAGTGAAGCCCTTTTCATTATGTCGCCCGTTTGAATGTCGAGTATAACCGAGTGTAATAATTGATATAAAAAATAAATAAATTAACGAAAATTTAATTACCTGATAGCTATTTGTTTTGGCCGACGTCCGTTTTAATTGCTTTCGATGCGACAATGGCGACGACAAGGGTGTGTGGCCTAAAAACGACAAAAGGGTTTACATTCAGTATGGTGATTAAATAAATAATGGTGTACAAATGTGCATTTGATGGGCATTTCATGAATGGACTTATATACATATATTTTTTTGGGGTCAACTTAAATTTACAATTCAATAGGGGGCAGTGCGCGAGAATCGCAGCGGAGCAACGGCCACCGCATCCGCAATCGCTAAAAATTAATTTCAATTTTATTGCAGCGAAGGGAAAGCGGAAAATGGGGGGAATACGGTGGGCAGTCTGAAGTGGAAAACCTCGGCCGCGGCGGGGAAAACAAAGCTGGAGTGAAATATGCAGATCAACTTGGCTGTCAAGGGGCGAGCGCAGAGTGTATTTTCAGCGAAAGCCAAACATTTATGAAAATGCAAAAGCGTTTTAAGGTTTACCCCAGGTAAGCTGCGCCAGCAGCTGCAGAGCGATATTAATGTGAATGGCTGCCAAGCCGCAAAAACAAGAAAACAAAAAAAAAAAAAAAAAAAACAGAAAGAAACTAAACTGGCAGCAACTGTAGGGGGATGCCGAAAAAACATAGCATGAATTGCGGTTTAAGCATTGAATTATGAATATTTCTTTACCTCGACCCCGACCTGGATTTCCACGGTGCTCGAGAACATTTATCATCCTGCCAGCCGAGATTCTGATTAAAAGCGAGAAATGTTTCGTAATATCCCCGCAGCCGAACGAAACATAACCAAGCACCGTGTCTTATTCACAAAATGCTAAAATCGCTACTCGTAAATTTGTACGCATCAAAAGTGCAAGAGGCCTCCGCTTTCCGCCGCAAATCTGTGCCACGAGTTGGGTCTTACCGAGAGATCAGGAAATTTTGCGAATTTTCCCGTTTTGTTTGGTTGAATGATTACGTATAATGAAGAGGAGGAAATTTGCATTCAATTTGTAAAGCAATTCACTTGCTTCTTATGCTAAATGGCAATGGCATTATATAAATTAGACAAAAGCGAAAACTTTCCAAGCGGCGAGAGTTGTATCCTCCGACCATAAGCTCAACCCGATACCGCGATTCTCCGCCTCGGGCCTTGGGCTCTATAATTGGCACAACTTTTGCTCGGTTAGCATGAAAACTCATTTATTTCAGCGCAATCAACACACATATACACTGACAGGCCAGCGGACAGAAAGTGGAACTTATAGCAATTAGCGGACTCAACTGAATGGAGCCAAAAGAATTAGGCAACAATCCAGACAGTTGTAGCCAGGCAACGTCGCAAAAAAGGAGAAAGTAAAACTCAATTCGCTGGAAGCAGCGATGCCATGAAAGGATGTTTATCTATTTCCCTCAAACTAGCCACTCTTTCCCTTTGAGTGATTTACTGTACGAGTATACTGTATAAGAATTTCACTGAGGAAAACAAAATTACCAATTGTAAGTATCAATTAAATGGCTTGAGCAGGTTTAAGTTCTTCAGGAAAAAGTAAAGTGGTGCACCATTTACAGTGGTCTTGGTTTCATATATATGTGTATATTTGTAATCAATAAAATATCTATATAGATATATACCAGACCCTATAATTAGCATTCTTTATGGCTGAAGTAATTAAGACTTATTTACTGAAGTAAAAGTAATTAAGATATTATTATATTGTATACCAGAAAGGTTATCTATCTACAATCAACAGTTCTATTTATGAAAGTAAAAACCTAATTAGCTGATTGTTCCAAATATTTAAACGATGTCAATGTTTTCCGTTCCTATTCATTTTGCAATTAACAACGGCTGAAAGTATTCTCACAACACTTTTCTCGTTGCTGAATATTTATAAATATCCGGAATATCAACTTTGTATTGATTTATTGAACATTGTCATTTTTCAATGGTGGACTGACCGAACTCATTAAGGTCTATTCATGTGTGGCCTCTAGAAGAGCTCCGTGGTGCATTGTTGTCCTTTGTTTTCTTTTGGAAAAAATGAATTTGTCATTTAATTAAGTCGGCAGACAGAAAATAATTTGCACAATTTATGCACGACAGCAATTTGCATAATGCAGCGCAACAAATCACAAATCAAATGTTTATTAATGCCCAGACACGGACCGAAATCCACAACCAGGCCACATACCAATCCATATCCATATCGTTTTGCATTTTGCAAACACGCTTCGCTGGCCTGTCCTCATGAATTATGTGAAAACAACTCAATCAAAATGCAAACTGTCAAAACAGGGCTGTTGGGAAAACAACGGCAACAAAAACAAAAAAAAACACCCAGAAAACGGAAAATATAGCATAAACCAACAGCTGGGAACAAATGAATTAGCCATATCTATGCGAGAGTGTGAGTGACGGCGTGATAACGCGTTATTACACTATAAAATCATTAATATGGCGGCTCTAATGTCGCGGATATGTAAATGCAGGCTCTGACACGCGAAACGCTTATAAAAAAATATAGACAACGAGCCCAGAAATGCGGCATTAGCTGTCTATCGTCGAGATCCTTTTGCCAACGCCTACCATTCGGGCCCATTACCCAACACTTTGGCCATAAAGCCGAGTGTGTGCCGGTGCCAGTGTCAAGGCAACGAAATCTATTAGTTTCCCGAGGCTTGGCGGGAATTTCCAGGCCAGGAAGAGCTGCGACAATTCCGTAAATTTGATATGCGCAATTTGTTGGCAAACGAGGACAAAGACACAGGACGTAAGACGAAGGACGAAGGATGCGAGGGCTGTTCATATAACTACCAAACCGCCTGGCAACCTGTTGCCGCTTGTTACGCACTTTTATGGCGCCAGCGGGTGGGCTTTTTCGAGTGGATTGCGTGTGTGTCTCACCTCAAACCCGACAAGGAACAACCTCAAAGTAGACCCCATTAAAGGTAATATGCCACATGACTCGCTGATGGAACTCACACTCGTCCCATCCCCAGATTGCTATAACATAATCAGTATTAAGACACTCGAGATGGTTTCGCATTCACTTGTTATGTTCTACATAATAAATAGAATTCCCCCAAGCCTCAAACTTAAATTTATGATTCACAATATTCAAACCAAACGTATACATACTTATATAGTTTTCACATTTAAGTCCCAACCATCCTTGCTTAGATGGGATCTACCATTTCAAACCAGCAATTTCTTTGCGAAATGCTGCATGCTTATTTCATTTTTATTTTTTTGCGCTATCCAAGATTTGATATGCAGAGAAAAAGTACATAAGTTTGTCCAAGGCCCCGATATACTTATAGTTTATACTTTGGCAAATCTCGGTGCAAGACAAAAGTAGCCAACTTAACTTGGCTAAGAACTTTCTTTTTTTGTGCCGTTTCTGTTGCAGCTTTTGGCATTTCTTATGCAGCTGATTGCATTTGGCCAAGAGCAGCGGCAGAAACGGCAACAACAACAATAACTGAAACAACAACAATAGCAAAGGCAACTGCAGCTGCAATTGAATTTTATAACAAACAATTTTACGCTTTAAGCACACTAGAATTTGCTTTTCTTGTAGAGGCCACCAATGAGGCTGCTGCCTTGAAGTGCTCAGAGTGCGTCATTGACTTTGCCTCAGGCCAAAGGCACTTCTCCACTTCTCCACTTTTTCCTATTTATCGTTATTTACCATTAGCTGGCTTTTGCCCACCTCATCCTTCGCTGGCAAGGACCTCGCCTTCCTCGGACTCTGTAACGACCACAATAAGCATTCTGGCCAGCTACTTGCGCTCGCCTTTACTTTCTGCGGCTTCCTCCTCTGCAGCCTTGAGCGAAATCGGAGCCCGTAAGCAGGCAGAAAGTTTAATAAAAATAGTAGAACAAAAACGAAATCAATTCCCCTACCCCGGCAATTATGGCATAGCAAGTTGTAAAGGGGAAAACTTATTCAAATGGCTCTTAATTAAATAAAGTTTCGGCTAATGTGCTCGAAGAAAGTTCAACTAAGGGACCCCGAAATGATATCATAGAGACAGTTCGCTTTTGAACTCCGATTTTAAATTAATATAATGCTTTACCAGTTTCACCAATTTTTCAATGTTTTAACTGTAAGTAAAAGTTGATAGCTAAACAACGAATTTCTATAAATTTAAAAACTTTAAAAAGCATTTGTTCCCAAGCTTTAAAATTAAATATCGATTTACTATGCGTTGGCTAGCTACACTCAAGCAGTAAAAACTTCAAAGCGTTTTATTTATTTTAAGAATAAACATGTTTGTACATTTACTTTTTTCGGTTTGCAAAACAAGTTTCATGTCGCTTTAAATATTTAGCAGAGACTTATCACATCTTTTTCAGGCTATTCTCGTGTACTAAACGTCTGTATAAAACTAAAGCTTGTGCAATTTGCCAGACTTTATTTTTTGTGTGATCCCAGAAAGATTTACTTGCTTTATTAAATATTGTGTGTGGACTTATCACATTAGCATTTTCAGCAGGCCACACTCAAGACAAAAAAAACTTTTATGCCGGAGATCCAAGACAAAGTTGGCACTCCCACAGCTCCGGCTGGAGAATCCCGGCCCATTCTAATCCCATTCCGGCCCCTAGTGTATAATTATTCTATCTGTCGCATATGCATGAGATCAGCCGAGGGGCGGGCCACACGCCCCCATGTCTCCATCTGGCCTACTATACGAGTATGTGTATGTAAGTCTATATGTATTCATATGCGTGTGGCGCAACTTCTTGGTCTTCCCACTCCGCAGCTTCATTAGCAACTTTGTGCGTATTCATTAGGAAGCAGCAACAGGGGGCTTCGAGCCCCCGAAAACCCTCCTGCGTTTCCACACCCAAGCCCACAGCTGCGACTGGTTGATAAAAGATTTATGCGAGCACTGATAACCCGACAAAACGCCCACATCCATAGACATACTGCCGGGATCCCGGATAAATAAACCACAAAATAAAGAGAAAACAACAAAAAAAAAAAAAACATTTCGAAATCAGAAAACCAAAAATTTCTATGGGAGAAAGTCTCAAGTCGAGGAGCATGGTTAAAAAAAAGAAAATTAAAGCACATAAAGGCAAC